CACTTGGGTTGTTTCCACATCTTTGCAATTGTGAATTGTGCTGCTATAAACATTTGGGTGCAAGTGTCTTTTTCATAGTGTCTTTTGTTCTTTTGGGTAGATGCCCAGTAATGGGATATTGCTGGATCAAATGGTAATTCTACTTGTATCTCTTTAAGGTATCTCCATATTGTTTTCCACAGAGGTTGCCCTAGTTTGCAGTCCCACCAGCAGTGTATGAGTGTTCCTATCTCTACGCATCCACGCCAACATTTATTGTTTTGGGATTTTGATAAAGGCCAGTCTCACTGGAGATAAATGATATCTCATGTGGTTTTGATTTGCATTTCCCTGATGATTAGAGATGTTGAACATTTTTCCATATGTTTTTTGGCCATTATTCTGTCTTCTTTTGAAAAGTTTCTGCTCATGTCCCTTGCCCACTTTTTGATAGGGTCGTTTGATTTCTTCTCGCTGATTTTCCGGAGTTCTAAGTAGATTCCAGTTATCAGCCCTCTATCGGAATTGGAGACCCAGGCAGGCTGCATTCCTGGGACCCCACCCTCACAGGATCGTGTCTGTGTGATATGGGTGTCCCGGGACCCCCGGGTGACCCCCTGGGAGCACTCAGCAGAGGGTGTGGGGAGCAGAGCATGGAGCTTCTCTGTGGCCCCTCCCCTTTAATCCCCTCTTGCAGGACCCCCCAGAATCCCCCCAGGAAACAGTGTCACAGAACACTGACCATGTATGCCAGCACTCTCTGTGTGCCAGGCCCCCATGGCTTTGAGGGGCTCCCAGAGACAAGGCACTGCTCAGGCCAGCAGCTGGAGGTGGCAGGACCAGGTCCAGCCGATGAGTCAGAGCTGGCGTTTGGCCTGTGACAAAAGCAGCAGAAAACTCTAGTTGTGAGGCCACAGGGAGGCCTGCCCAGGCAGGAGCAGCAGTTGGCTGAGGCCTGGGGGCCTGAAGAGGCTGGCGAGTTTGGCCCTCTCCCACTGGCCAGTGGGGACAGAGCCGGAGTGACTCTGATGTCCCTCGCCCCTGGTGGCCACCTGTGTTCTGGGGGCAGTGTCTCCACCAGGTTCAGACTCCTCCACAACCTGGTTGTACTTTTAGGACTTCCCAGTCCCCATCAGCGTGGACATGGTCATTGGTGCTGGCCCAGGACCCCACCCGGCCCTGTCATCCACCAGGAGGGCAAGGATATTCACATTCCTTATCCACCAATGTGCCCTTAGTGCCTGGCATGTGGTAGCACAGTGGACCTTTGCAGAATTTTGTTGAGTTGATCTGACAGGGCATAAACATGTATTATGTTTACAAAGATTATCCATGTAGTATTACTTGTAATTATAAAAATTTGAGGGAGGATGGATGTCCAAAATTAAGGGATTGATTTAAAATGATGCTCTAGCCATTTAAATAATGTTGGAGAAAAATTCCTAATGCCATGCAAAAACATCCCCAGTGTATGAAGTATGAAAATTATCAAATAGGATGTCTCTGTTTTATAAAATTTCTTACTATGATAGGTAAAACTTTTGTAAATGAAATCAAAGCAATAAATGTTCTTTTTTCTTGTGGTAAAATATACAAAACAAAAACCTACCATTTAAACCCTTTCTCGAGTGCACAGTTCCGTGGCATTCAGTACATTCGCATTGCTACGCAACCATCACCACCACCATCTCTTTTCCATCATCCCAAACTGAAACTCTGTCCCCATTACACAAGAAATTCCCTTTCTCCCCTTTGTTCAATTCTGTTTATTGGTTTTTCTCACTGAACTGGATGTGTTAGACAAGAAGACTGCACTCCGATCCTGCCAATAAGACCCCATCTTGTTTGCAGAGAGAGAAATTCCAGTAGTATCCATTTAAGCAACAAGCCCGTGTGGCCCTCACCTGGCTCAGATGAAGAAGATAGGGGACAGGTGGCACATTCATGGGTGGACGCTTCCTGGGCACCTGAGACATGCCCAAGTGGTCTGGCCCCGAGAGACCTAGGGAGGCATCCAGAGAAGGATCCTCTGGGGATGAGTGCTCTCAAGGAGCGATGGGTCCATATGTGGATGATTGAGGTGCACTCAGAGCTGGGTAGGCCGGACAGTGTGCGGTGGGGCTGCCAAGGGGAGAACGTGGTTGGCCTGTGGACAGGGGTCTGCCGGAGGTTGGCATCCAAGCAGTCTTGTCCTCTAGCAGGCATTGAGCTGGATGCTGGGATGGGCACAGTGAGGAGAGCCAGCCTCAGCCATATAGGAGTCCTGGGGAGGGAGGCCTCTTGAGGTGTGGCGGCACCCTGGAGAGAGGGTTAGTCCTGCCTAGGGGGCGATGGGAAGCTGCTTCCCGCCTTGAAGTGGGACAGAGCATTGGCCAGACTGCAGGGAGGCAACCCATGTGGGACCTCAGTTCTCACCTCCAGCTCTGATGTGCTTTGGGAGTAGACGGTTTCAGGTCTAATTCTCATAAACCTCTACAGATGAATTAAACCACAAACCCAGTTTTTCCATTTTCAAGAAGGCAGATTTTAGTAACAAATCTCGAGGCTAATTTATCTGATTGCAACATTGTTGTGCACAGATGTATTTCTATGATTATTTTATGATACTCCAATGAACATAAGCTAATCAACTTGAAAAGATAAAGTCTAGGTATAATTTGGTATAATTTTCATTGCCTTTTTCTAAACTTTAAGATTCACTCACAAGAGGCAAAGCATGAGCCGGCGACTGTGCTGGGCACGGCGATGCGTGGGTGGCCCCAGCGGCCCTGCGTCTCATCTCGGGTGTCTGAGTGGGGAGGTCCCAGGCTTGCCCACAGGGCCATGGGGCCTAACTACACCGGCTTTTGTGTCTCAAATGCAGTGGCCTCGTGGTCTATGCAGATGGACCCCTGAACTTGGACCGCAAAGTGGAAGACATGTCTGAGCTGTTCCGGCCCTTCCACACGTTGCTACGGAAAATAAGGTGGGGGAGAGGTGGGGGGGTGGGGGAAGAGAGGGGGAGGGGTAGGGGAGGGAAAGAGGGAGGGGTGCCATCAAGTGTTCAGCCACTGCCAAGTCTTCCTCCTTCCCGTGAGGAAGGGCCAGCTGGTAATATTCTTCGTGGTTGTAAATGGCCCCATGGTGGTCAAACCCAGTCTGGCTTTTGCCATCCGAGGATCATGTGGGTTTGGGAGCTCTTTTGTGTGGAGCTTTGGGGAGTGGTAAACCTCACAGTTCCTTACAATTATGTACCCTTTGTTCACCAAAAGCCCTGGAGTTTACCTCTATCAGTGGTGCTCATACTTTGGTCTTTTTCTTTAATTATTCATATGTGTTTTGTGTCATCGCATTGGAGCCCCTTTTAAACCTCCACACCTTTCTTCCTGTGGACGAAGGGCTTTGCTGGGTAGCCTCTCTGCACAGACAGAGCCCTGTTGTGGCCACCTGGAGGGTGGGGCAGTGTGAGGCTGTGGCTTATGTCCTCCAAGCGGCTCCCTGGCCCCATAGCCTTGGACCCCTGGGTGTGTCCTTTGGGGACCCAGAGAGCACATAACTCTGCCCAATGTGGAGCCAGAGGTGCTGCTAGTCCAGTGGAAAGTGAACCAGAATAGGGTCTTGAGCTCCCGGGACCTTGGCAGCGTGGTTAGGGCTGGGGCACTTGATTCAACCTGTGGTCCATCTGGTGGGGTCTGTTGGTGCTTCCCTCTCACTCTGGGAGTCATGACCCCAGGTCCCAGAGGCCATAGTCCCACCCTCCCTGGGTGACATCTGGAAGAGGAGAGGGGAGGGATGACTCAGGGCCGCAGGAAGGCACAGGGCGTCTTGGGCAGATGGGGGTCTTATAGGGAAGGATGGGTGGGGCGGGTGGGTACTGGGGCCAAGGGCAAGGGAAGGGAGCCACATGGGATGGTGGGGGGCTGGGAGAGGGCCCAGGCCACATGTGGTGGTCCCAGCAGGCTTGCCACCTGCAGCAGTGGAGAGAAAGGTGGGAGCTGAGCAGGCTTGGAGGCAGAATATTCTGCAGGTGCAGCCAGAGAGGTGGGATTGCGGAGACTGCAGGCTGGGTGTGGGAAGCGAGTCCTATGGTGTCAGAAGTCAGGAGCTTTCTCCATCAAGGATGAGCAATTTAAAATCCCCAGACCCTGTTAAATATCATTCGTCACATATTATCCCCAAAAGCCGGCATAGATGGAACGAGACTCTGCAGCCCGCCCTGGGGCCCTGACTCAGGGAAACTTCAAGCGCGGATGGGGGGCAGGGACCCAGGAGTGCAGTCCCAGACCAGCCCTGCCTGCCACCCTGAGGAATTGGAATGACTACATGTGCTCCCCCAACATGGAAAGCAGTGAGGCTCTACAGGTGAGCCTGAGGCTCCTCCAAAGATGGGTTCAGGAACTTACTTATCCACTGTTGTCCACTGTGGTCCGGTGTTTACAAACAGAGCTTCAGAAATGCAGCCTTCACTGCAGGGTCATACGCTACCTCTGGGAAAGAAAAGCCGGAAAGAGATATCTAAATAGAGTACTTAAAAATGAACTTCAACGGAGGCCAGGAGTTGGAGGCCACTCTGAGCAACAGAGTGAGACCCTGTTTCTACAAAAAATAGAAAAATTAGCCAGGCCTGGTGGCATGCGCCTGTAGTCTCAGTTACTCAGGAGGCTGCAGTGAGCTATGATTGCGCCACTGCTCTCCAGCCTGGGTGACAGAGCAAGACCCTGTCTCTAAAAAATGAAAAAAATGAACCTGGAGTCAGTTGTAAAATAATTGACGAATATGGTGAATTTTGTGAGTGGATATTTTAATAAATGAGTGCTATTAAATATAGGTAGACATAACCGGGCAACTTCACATCTTTTCACAAAATGTGGGCAAGACTTCTGCTTTGGGACAGACAGGATGCCTCAGGTCTCAGCAGGGCAATTCTCCAGCCACAACAATGAGAAAAAAACTGGATAAATTTGAAAAATCTTGTGTTTAAAGGTAACTGGACTGCAGAAGTGAGGATTGGATGAACCAAAATTCCAGAGAGGGGAGAGCGTCTCGGAGGTGAGCTGGCTGTCTCTGTAGCTGTTTTTGCCCAGAGAGCATTCGATGATTCCAGGCTTGCTCAGGGCTCAGGCTTCCCAGGCAGAGACTCTCCACTGAGGGAAAGAGGACCTAATGGTAAGAGGCTGGTGGAACATGTCAGAAACTTGGAGCATTTAAGCAGCATGCCTACTGGGTTCTGGGGAGGCAGGGAATCCAGGCAGAACACTCCTAAACAGCATGGAGAGGCTTCCTGCAGTTCCGGGGTGCTTATGAGACAAACATGCCTCAAGCACACTGCCAGTCACCCCACGAAACATTTGTCGGATTTTGAAGCTACATTGGGCAGGGGGGCTGGAGGCTGAGCCCCCAGTCTCTAAACTGCAGTAATTAGACTGAAGCTGGAGCCTAGCCCAACCTGCTCGATTTCTGAAGGGAATGTGATAATGGACCCTCGCATCATCTGCCTAACAGAAGAAAGGGGAAATCCCCTCTGGGGGCAGAAAGCATCATCTGTAACCTCTTTGATTCTTTTACATCCAGTGTCTGTCATATAATCAAAAATTGCTAAAAATGTAAAGAAGCAAGAAAATATGATTGATAGTTAAGAGAAGAGTAAGAAAATTGATATAGACTGCCGATGATCCCCATATTAAGCACAAGGACTTGAACACAATTGTTATTAATATGTTAAAGGAAATAGAAAGATAAAAGGACAGATTAAACAGAGAATTGGAATGTATAAAAAAAGAAACAAAGGACACTCTAGAGCTAAGAAATTTCACAATCTGAAAATAAGGACACAGTAGATGGGTTAATAGCAGATTGGACCAAGCAGAGCACAGAAGTAGTGAACTTGAGGACAGCTCAATAGAAGAGACCCAACTGAAGCACAGAGAGAAAATGAATGGGAAAAACAAACAAGTAATAACAACAGCAACAAAAACCAGAACAGAACGTAAGATGCATGTGCAGCATACTCAAAAGGTCAAACTTACATAATTGGAGTCCCAGAAGGAGAGAACAAAAAGAATGGGCAAAGCAATATTCAAAAAAGTCATGGCCAAGAATTTTCCAAATTTCTAAAAGATGAAAAATCTCTACGCACAGATTCAGCAGGCTCAAGAAAACTACAAGAAAGATAAACACAAAACATACCTAGGTGTACCATAGTGAAATTGATAAAAACAAAGAAAAAATCTTAAAAGCAGCAAGAGAAAAAGGACATACTACTTTGAAAGGAATATAAGATAGACAGCTGTCTTCTTAAAAAGCAAACAAAAACAATGGAAACCAGCAGGCAATGAAATATGTTTAAAGTGATGAAAGAAAATAGCTGCCAACCAGAATTTTATAACCAGCAAATATATCCTTCAGAAGTGAAGGTGATATTTCACCTTCGTGAATTATTACAATGAATTATTTTGAAACACAGAGCTGAAGGAATTTGTTATCAGCAGCATGCACATAAAGAAAAACTAACTGGAGTTCTTCATGAAAAAGAAAAAGTAATCTTGGATGGAAATGTGAAAATGCAAGAGAAACTAAAAAACATGATGTGGATTAATGTAAATGAATGCTAACTGTACAAAACAATAATTGTAATGTCTTGTAGAATTTAACTTATACATAGCACTAAATGCATGATAGAAGAATCAGAAAAAACCGAAAGAGGGTAAATGGAATTTAAAGTTTGAAATGTTCTAGCAGTATTGAAGAAGAATTTGATAAAATATATTAGACTGTGATAAATCAAGGATGCTTGTTATAATATTAGTATAAAACTAAAATAATAGTTAAAGATGGAGGGAAAGAAGAACATGAAAGAAATGGACCAAATAGAAAAAAAATAAGAAGGTAGATGCAACCCAACTATGTCAGTAATTGCATTAAATGCAAATGGACTACGTATTCCAAGTATAAAACTAAGATTACCAGGCTGGGTTAAAACAACAACTATGGCTGGGCGCGGTGGCTCACGCCTGTAATCCTAGCACTTTGGGAGGCCGAGGCGGGTGGATCGCTCAGGGTCAGGAGTTCGAGACCAGCCTGAGCAAGAGCAAGACCCTGTCTCTACTAAAAAATAGAAAGAAATGATCTGGACAACTAAAAATATATATAGAAAAAATTATCCGGGCATGTAGCACATGCCTGTAGTCCCAGCTACTCGGGAGGCTGAGGCAGAAGGATTGCTTGAGCCCAGGAGTTTGAGGTTTCTGTGAGCGAGGCACTCGCTCTAGCCTGGGCAACAGAGCAAGACTCTGTCTCAAAAACCAAAAAAGAATGGAAAGGGGGCAGCACTACAGACCTTACAGACATCAAAATGATAGTAAGAGGACACTATAAACAACTTTATATCAATAAATTTGACAATTTGAATGAAATGGACAAATTCCTCAATAAAGCAATTAATCAAAGCTGACAGAAGAAATGGAAAATTTTTTTGGTCTAAGGTCTATTAAAAAAATTTAAACCATTATTAATTAATTATATTTTTAGAGACAGGGTCTAGCTCTGTCACTCAGGCTGGAGTGCAGTGGCACAATCATAGCTCACTGTAGCCTCAAATTCCTTGGCTCAAGCAATCCTCCCACCTCAGCTTTCAAAGTAGCTGGGACTACAGGTGCATGCCACCACACCTGGCTAATTTTTTTTTTAAATTTTTTTGTAGAGATGAGATCTCACTGTGTTGCCCAGGCTGGTCTCGAACTCCTGGCCTCATGTGGCATCCCCAAATGCTGGGATTGCAGGTGTGAGCCACCACGCCTGCCTTGAAACCATTATTTAAAACATTTCCACAAAGAAAATATCAGGCACGGATGACTTTCCTTATGTATTCTTCTAAACATTTAAGGAAGAAATAAAACTAATCTTAGACAACTTCTTCCAGAGAATAGGAAAAGAGACATTTTCTAACTCTTTTTTTAAAATGAGAGTATAATTTTGGCACTAAAACCT